CGTCTTCTATCGAACACTCCTAATGCTGGTTCTGATTCATCAGCTAACTGGCCGTCCACTGGTGCTGCTGTTGCCAAAACTACTACTATCGCAAACCAAATGTCGCGCGGTGCTTTCGTTGCTGGCTCTTATGCTGCAAATGCTAGCATGGCAAAGTGGAACCATATGATGTAATGATGAACGCGTTTGCGTAGCTAATTACATCTGCGCTAGTCTCAGTCTTGCTAGTCGGCGGCATAAGGTAGTGTCCGCATACGTCGAGATTACTGTAGCGTCGAAAGGTTAAAGATCATGTCACGGTCTACAGCTAGAAGGAGGTCTCGCCATTCTCGCGGACTGTATCCAGAAGGTCTACTCAATACAGAGTCAAAGAGCTACATCCGACAAGACGGGACAAGAGGAGCAGACGTCGGCGTTCCACGTCTAGAGTGGGACCTGGAGGAAGGGAATGAGGAGGTACCCCGCAGTGGACCGCTGCGTGGAAAAGGTTCAAGGTCAGGTAAGGAGCTTCTAGGTCGTAAGATAGAGGCTCAGTCGTGTTTTTCCTTCTTAAACAAGAAGCATTCAGAATACATTAAGTTACTTTTGGAATAATCGCTCTAGTTCTCGTTCCTACGTCGGCCAGCTAGATACACGACCCCGACACTAAGGAGGAAGACCGCGACAATCACAACCGTTTTCAATGAGTTGTCGCTCAGATATTTGCCTTCACGCACATTGATTAAACAGGTAGTCAGTAATTAAAGAATCTTCAACGCTACTAAATGAAAGTGGTCCAGTTTATTTTTGTTTTGGTACTGGTTCTGGTTTTAATAAAGGTACGTATTTCGGGATTTGTGCTCACATATGGTACTGGTTTTGGGAAAAGCTCTTCTGTCTAAACGCCACAATGCTAAATCTTTACTGCAATCGCTGGGATAATATACGAGTTGAGCTCCTGATAAACTAGATGTAGTTCAAACTACCATGAACTGTGTGTGGTACAACTCGCAGTGAAATACAGCTATCACACAAATTCGGAACATTGTCAAGTCATAAACTTCATCATTTAAACTGGAAAAAAGAACTACCGGGAATCACTCCAGTAGCTTATTAGAACCTATGCACATGTTGCCACCATGTTCTCAACACGGGGAGACAGATACGATAGCATTGAGTATCCTGAGCTCGCATCGATCGTGACCTCTCAACCACCACAATTGTGTCGTGTAAACACCACTCTTTTCTGTTTCCCTTGAAATCCGATGAATTCAGTTTTCCAGGTCCAGAATGTTGGTAATCTGATCGAGGTTTTTCTCAATTTGTTTCGAGGTTTTTCATTTCTCTAAACAAAACGGCACTGCCCACTTCGCAAGAGCTGTGGCATCAAGCAACAGAGGACAAGTAGGCGGGAGCACACAGCGATACACAGCGCGACAGCAACGCAGGGGAGGGAGCTAGACACTAGGACAGGGCAGCGGCGGTCTGTGTGAGCGAATTCGGCTCGAAAAAGCGCTTTCTTTTCCGCTTTTTACCACGTCCGGGGGAGTTTGTCCCGCTGGACCAAAAATCGACGGGCGTCACGATGCTCCAGGAGGCAGGAGACGACGCCAAGGAACATACAGAGCCAGGACCATGCTGTGGGGAGTGCATGCACTCGAAAGGCGAGCGATGCGGCGTGTGTCGAGACGCGCAGGAGCCTGCAGCACAGAAGCAAGTGGAGAGCTTCGATTTCGGGAGTCTGGGGCCGCCGCCGCCGTGTCCGACGTTGTGTCGACAGGAGGCGACGGACTTCACAGCCGCGAGAGAGAGGAAACGGGCAGGTTTCTTCGGACAGGAGCTTGGTCAGATGACTCAGCCCAGTTTGTCCAGAGTAAGCAGGAGACTGCCCACGCCGGTCGCGGACCATTGTTCGTTGATGATGTAAGCAGTCAAGACGTGGAAAAAAGTAGTGGGAGTATAGTATTTGGAGAGGAGGGACAAGTGAGTGTTAAGTTAGCGACTGACTGGCGGCTTCCTTGGCATGAAATGAAATCGCTCGCCAAGCAACGGATCGTCGTTTTGATGCTGTGTCTTGCCAGTAGAGACGGTGGGTACGCATCGACATGCTCGCACTTTAACGCGTATAAATTATTATTTTTTAAGGAAACGCTCGATCCAAACGATTGCGTTGGGTGGCTTACAAACATTCATGCACTCCTGACGTCAACTCCGCGTGAACATCTAGCGAGTGTTTACCAGAACCAGACAGATGCATTCTGAGTGAGCTTCACTCGTTTCCTGTCAACGCAAGATCATGGGATGGCTTTCATCGTAGCAAGACCAGTACTAATGCTAAGCTTAGCGCTTGGCATCGCCCGACAGCGACGATATATGCACTTGCAACTGGTGAGTCGCAATAATGGCGTTGATGGCCGCCTTACCGACTCCCTGCCGACAATTCTGGGCAATTAATGGCAACTGTGCGGCTTCCAAGTTATCAGATTTCGAGAGTGATAGCACGTTCGAGTTGCATCATGCCACGGACAGGCATTTTTTTCAGCACAAATGCACCGATAACTCAGATGTGAATATTTTTCATTAATCGTTACGGAAGAGCCGCTAAAGATTTTAGTGTAAATTTGTTTTGCAATTATTAAGTAAGAATAGATAAATTGAGGCTCTCTTTACATGCGACGTCTTCAAGTCAACGGGTCGGACTCGCCGAAGAGGAACATAAAGAGCTCTCGTGGGAGCTGCTCCTGACACGGACAAGCGTTGAAGTCGATGACGGGGCACGAAGCTGCGAGCTGCAGCAAATTCTCAACGAAGCGCTGCACTGCCTTGGTTCGCTGGCGCTGTGAGAGCACCAAGCTCAACACTGGACCCGGAAGCGCAGCTCCTAGAAGTAGAATGCCAGCTACTTCAGTGCAGAATGGGCAGCTCATAGTCGGGTGGGACGTTTTGCACGTCTCGTAGAGTTCGTCCCGAAGAGCGACAAAGTCGCTGAAATGCTTCTCAATGTGGGCGTCCAAATGCTGAGCCTTTGTCTTGAAACTCGTGGGGATGCGAGATCTCGACTGTGACGGAGTGTACACGTCGATAGCATAATTTCCATTGGCAGCCGACACCAGGACGCTGCGGATCTGCTTGAGCTTGTTCACAGTCTGCATGTGACGCGAGTACCTCTCAGGCAAAAGCCTCATCGGACTGAGCCGCGCGAGACCGCCGACAACGACGTCGCTTGAAGATTGATGCAGGATACTCATGATGGCTAGCGAGGAATTTCTAAAGTGAGAACTGCCGCTGCGACTCGCAAGGTCAGAGGGTGCCACATCTCGGCCTTCAACTGGACTGTCTCGTACCTGAATGTGCGCTGAATGCGAATGGTCCGGTGCTTTGGCACGAGGGGGTGCTCCATCAAAAAGTATCTACACCACTTGAAACACCTATTTCATTTCTCTTTGTGCCTATGACACTGTTACAGTAACTCTAAGTTGTAGGGATAGATAAGTCTAAAACGTTGTGTCAATGTGATAAATGCTCAAGCAGAAGCTTCGAAGAGGAACTTGTAGAGCTGACGTGGGAGCTTTTCTTGGCACGGGCAAGCTTCCGAGTCGATTACTGGGCACGCAACAGCGAGCAGCAATAGAGACTCCATAAATCGCTGCACCGCCTTCACTCGCTGACGTTGTGGCAGCATCCAGGTCAGCAACGCACCCGGTAGCACAGCTCCGAACAACAAGTATCGGGTCAGTTCACTGCAGAATCCGCAGTTCATGTACAAGTGGGGACCGGTGTGGCAGGTGTCGTACAATTCGTCGCGCAGCTTCACAAAGTCGGCGAACCGCTTTTCCACGTGGGTGTCAGGTCGGCTGAAAAGCGTGGCAACTTGCTGTCCCTTGGCCTCGGAGTTAACATGTTTTAGACTCGTCGGGATGCGCGTTGTACTCTGCGACGTAGTGAACACGTCGATGACGTAGCTGTTGCCAGCACCTCGAGATACTTGCACCTGTTGGATCTGTTTGAGTTTGGTCAGGATCTTCATGTGACGCGAGTACCGCTCCGGCATCAGGTTGACGGGTGTAAGTCGCGCGAGACTTCCAACGTTCACATTAGGAGTCGTGTGTTGTTGGACGCTTGCCATGTTCTTGCTGGCGTGAGTGTAAAATCAAAACTGAACATGAGCTGCGACGAGCGCAGAAACCCTGTTGGCCATTCTAGAAGGCTTCACGCCTTGTTCCGGTCTTGGGTCGGCTCCGTTTGCCCCGTCTCGTTACTGAATGTGAAAACCAAAGCTGAATGCGAGGTACCGTTTGACAACTGGTGCTTTGTCAAGGAAATGGAGGCCAACCATTTGCCACCACAAGAACGTGTTTGCTTCAGTTTTACACGTTTGAGATTCTTCACTCTAGATCTAACGTCGAGGTGCATGTAATGTATCGCAAGCCCTTTGTCGCAGTGAATGCATGGCCTCTCGAATGCCAAGTTGAAGTGGACCAAAACACGCAACCTGATTGGTCAACAAGCCGCATGTATTTGTTGTTGCAATTTGTACGCTTTGCTTGGGCTTCACGAGTTGATTGTAGATGATTGTGTGTGGACAGAGTCTTCGGTAATTACCAATATTTTCGGGCATTTCTCCATACGCCCGTGGGATTTTCCCTCGCAAGATGGCAGTGAGGTCTTCATTCAACTGTCTAGCTGCCATCTCCTCAGCCTCTCGAGGATGGCGTGTATGTGCGTGTGGTCGTCTCTTCTTGTCCTCTTGGTTGCACTGTCGGCGTGCAATAACCTCTGCCAATTTAGCTCGATCAAAGTGGAGAGGGTCCACCACACGAAGCGTATCAGCATCATAGCATCTTTAACTTGATAGTCCAAGTCATTGTACCTTGCCATGGATGGAGACGAGTTAATCTCAATAAGCCATGGCCGCAAGTCAGCGTCCAAGAGGATATCGTACCCTAAAGGTCGAAGCTGTTGACTTGGAACGGGATGTGGTCCTCACCGCAGAGAATCGCATCGAGCACCACTTTCCGACATTTTTCCAAACGATCTTTGACAGTGACTGCCGCCAAGTTAAAGTGGGTCGAAACACTCGATCTGAATGGTCATGTAGAAGCAAAACCGGAGTATTCACCCTCGTTGGTAAGAGGATACTAGTCATGTTACTTTCTCGTGGCTAGTGCTAGGTTACCCTACTGCCTCTACGCCTCGCCAGAAATGTTAACTCTTCGCTTACGATGCCAACATTACGATTTGAGATGACGGTGAGGGCGCGCTCCGGACAGCCGCAGCTACCGGTAGCATCAGAGGACAGGCACTCGCAGTACAATTGCCGCTCAGATATGCTAGGCACGTAGAACGACCGTGATAGTCTCAGAGGTTTGGCCCGAGTACAGCATACGTGTCGAGGATGGATTTAGTCGCTTTCATACTGTGACCACGTTCCTTTACGACCCTCAAGATGAACGATGGCCCCTGTGCTGAGAATATGTGTCCACGCTGACAAGCCTATAGGACAATGAGAATCCGCCTTATGCCCAAGATCTAGAGAAATAGCAGCCAGAACTTGCGTGTTAGCTGGTTACGCCATGGTATCTTAATACTTCAGCGTGCAGTACTGTAAGGGCTGAACGAGCAATTCTAAAACATCAGTATTTCGAGTAAAATGACAAACTGGTTTGCTGTCGAGAGTGTTAGGTGCGTTTACTACGTTTGGATGGCCTCTACAGTATAGAGTACATGTGTGGGATGCAGATGCTTTGATCTGCACTTGACACTTCCCTCCACCACGCCACCTATGCGTGCCACTTAGCTCATTTTCATTACTGCTCGCTACCAGTCAAATCGGCTTCAGTACCCCAGGAACCATGTTTCACCAAGTTTGCCTATGGGCCGCAGCACTGTCGTCCATGACCCTCGCTAGCGGCGACACTTACTACAGCGGTAACAGCGTGTTGTACACGCACGAAGGATTCTCGTCCGGTAATTGCAACTTCATGTACGACCCCGGCGTCGGCAACTACTTTGCCGCTTTGAACAGCGATCAATGGGACTCCACTCTAAACTGCGGCCGGTGCGCTGAAGTTGCTAGCGATGGAGCGAGTTCCATCACGGTTTACATCGTGGATGAGTGTACCGAGTGCGAGGATGAAGGCCTAGGTCTGTCCCCACTGGTTTACAACCAGCTCACTCACAGCGACTCATCCCAGAGTATCAAGTGGAGGTTTGTGGACTGCCCCGTCAGCGGCAACATCGAGTACTGTGCGAATACATTAAGCAGAAGTGCGTGGATGGCCTTACAGCCTGCCAATACCGTCACGGGGGTGGCAAGCATGAAGATCGCGAACCAGAACGCGTCCTTGATGGACTCGAGCTTCTATTTTGTACTGAAAGGATCGAATGTCAACATGTCGGCAGTGAACGTCGAGTTGACGTCGATCTCGGGGGAGACACTCACCGAGACGTTGTCGCTCGTTGCAGGGAATTGCACAGAGGGAACGTCGAACTTCGCAGCCAGCTCCAGTCATCAAGAGAGCGAAGTTAACGAATACTTCGATACTCTCAAGTCAGGTGACGGTGGCTACACGGCAGGGAAGGTAACTCCACCGGACGACTCGGAACAAACTGTCACGAGGTCAGAGGCAACCTCGTCGGGAACGAACCTTCTATTCGTCGTCCCCGTGCTGGTGATTATCGTGGGCGGCATCGCTCTCGTCTACATCGTCAAGAGGAAGAAGCGCTTATCCGGCCAGCACGTTGACCGTGAAAAGGGAAAGAGTGCTTTCGGTACACTCAAGTCGCCTGTGCTCGTCAAAGAGACCATCGCCAAAATTTAAGCGTCAATAATCTTCAAGAAAAGAAGGACAAACGGACAAACGCATCGAATTGGACATCGCGTCACGTCTTATCAAGCCGGCTACCCGTGGCGAGCTGTATCCTTATTTACTCATTGGTCACCTCTCTTCCTTTAGGAGGCGACCAACATGAGACCTTAGCATCAACTCCAGCGATACAATCGACATCGAAGCGAATCGCTTCACGCGATACACCGCTGGGTTTTCTCGCTCGTTGTAAGTACCCTAATCAATAATGCAAAGCCTTCTGTTAGCGGATAGGCATGTGCGCCAAAAACAATTGGACGTCAATTACTGCGGTTCAACACGTTGTGCTCCACAATTGTGCAAGATGACAAGGCTCGATCTGTCCGATCTGTCGGTGGACTCTCCTCTTCATCCACCCCGGCTTCTGTCGCCTTGTTGAAACGTTCGACTCGAACAGAGTGAAGCTCATTCGAGGTTTCTCTTCGCTACCAGCTCAACTCTTACCGGAACAGGAAGTCGTTATCGAAAAAAAAAATATGTTCCGACAGATTTCGCTACTGGTGGCTCTGCCCGCTATGGTGCTTGCAGGTGGCGCGAACGACGTTTACTACACCGGTGACGGCACGGCGAACGGGGTGGGCAAGGCCGCTGCAGCCACGTGCGGCGCCGGCGTCGACGACAATTACGTCGCGATTAACAGTGACCAGTGGAACTCGACCCAGAACTGTAACAAATGCGTCGAAGTCTCGTGCGACGACGACCGGTGCAGCGACCAGACCAGCTCCGTGGTCGCGTATGTGGCCGGAGAGTGCATCGACTGCGACGACGAAGGCCTGGACCTGTCCCCGACGGTTTTCAAGAAACTTACGGGCAGTGACCCGTCCCGTTACACTATCAAGTGGGAATTCACGGAATGCCCCAACTCTTTCAATGCCCTGAAGGGTAGCAACGCATACCAGGCCGGTAAGGTGGAGCCCGCCGACGAGAAGCAGAGCAAGGTGAGCATTCTGCAGGCGAACGAGGAAGGCGTCGAGAACCAGAAGGACGACTCGGAGACGCAGCAGACGAACACCAAGTCCGGCGCTGACGGAATAACGCACAAAGGCACCAGCCCGTTCATTGTGGTTCTCATCGTAGCAGGCGCCGTGTGCGGTATCGCTTTGGCTGCCGTCTTCTACACTGCCAAAAAGAAAAGCAACAAACACGACGAGTGTTTGACCAAATCTTTCGACACGTTCAGCTCTCCTGCGCAGAAGAAGAAGAAGGCGGCTATTGTCACGATCTAAGCGACGCTACGTTAGGTTGGTTGTCATGTGTTTCATGAGGCAGAGGTTTCAACTGGAAGGCTGCAGTGTGCGGCTTTCGATCGACCGGTAGCGTACGTGCATGTTCAATGTTTGATTTTCAATGGGTCAGTGGCAGTGGAACCACAACTATCGCAGGCGTATAAGTGAATACACACGATGGTAACATGATGTTCAAACATGGCGTGCAACGCAAACCTCCTCCAGTATGTACGTCAACGAGAGCATTTTTGAATGGAGTACATTTACAGAATTATGGAGTGTCGGACCAACCAGCATGTATCGGTCCGACCCTGCCTCGACTATCGAATGCAAAGTTGTTCAGCACTCGAACGCTAACAGAAGTGTCTCGGTAGTTGTCTATTCAAACGCATACGCATTAGCGACCTTTATTAAGCTGAACATGCCACGGCTTCATGGAGCTATGGCAAGAAGAAGAAGAGGCTGGACGCTGTCCATGTACCCACCTCAAGGGTCAACTACTGAATCTGTAGAGGAATCGCTCAAGTATGGAAAAGTCTTGGCGCCATCTGCACGCAGCTATCCTTGAAGGGTCTCGTCGTTTTGAGCTGTTGGTCGAACAATTGATGTAGAAGTGCTGTAACTTATTACCTCGAACTAAGCAGGAATATTCCAGCTCACAACGTCCTCGAGTGGGGATAGAACTCTCCCCCATTCAACTTGTAATGTATCGCTGCCTACTTTCTGCCCCTTTCGCGTGGGACACGAGATTGTCAAGCTCGATCTGCCTCTCTCCTGTCTTTTCATACTTTCCAAAGAAGAGGAAAGTTCCTCTTCGTTTTAGTCCTTCCGTTCATATCGGATACTGCTAGACGAGTCAGCGCGGTGCGACCACAGTCTCATTCCAGCTTGTGCCTGTTACCAACTCCTTGGGCAATTCCTCCATGATGTTCCGACAGGCTTGGGCATTGGTGATCATGCCGGCTATGGCTCTTGCAGGCGGGGACACCTACTTCACCGGCGACGCCACGTCGTACACGCTCGGACAGGTATCCGCCGGCAATTGCAACTTCATGTACGACCCCGGTGTCGATGACAACTACGCCGCGTTGAACAGCGAGCAATGGGACTCGACACTCAACTGCGGCCGATGTGCCGAGGTCTCGTGTGACGACGACAGGTGCAGCGACACGACCAGCACTCAGATCGTCTACATCGTGGACAGGTGTCCGGAATGCAAGCAAGGCGACCTGGATCTGTCCCCAGCCGTGTTTGAGGCGATCACAGGCAGTGACCCGGACCGCTACAGCATCAAATGGAGGTTCGTGGACTGTCCCGTGAGCGGCAACATCGAGTACTGCACGAAGAGCGGCAGTAGCAGCTCGTGGCTGGCCATTCAACCTGCAAATTTCGCCAGCGGCGTGGCCAGCATGAAAATCGCCAACCAGGACGTGACGATGGTGGACTCGTGCTACTACTACCTGCTAAACGGCGGATCGAACGTCGACATGTCGGCGGTGAGCGTCGAACTCACGTCATTCTCAGGTGAGACCATCACCGAGACGCTGTCGCTCACGGCCGACGAGTGCACAGAGGGCACGTCCAACTTCCGAGCCAGCACGACGCAGCAGAGTTCGACGCAGCAGAGTTCTACCAGCCAAACCAGTCCGTCCACCACGGCACCGGCAGCTACGACTGCGACACCGACGGCTACTACAGCTACGCCGTCGAGTGGCAGTTCGTCCACCCAGCAGAACGAAGTCAACAAGTACTTTAACACTCTCAAATCGAGTAATTCCAGTGGTGGAGACGGCTACCAGGCTGGCAAAGTGACGGCAGCCGACGAATCTGGCAGTGGCGTGTCCATCCTGCAGTCGAGTGAAGCTGGCGTGGAGAAGACGCCCAGTACGCAGCAGACGGACGACGCTGACCAGACTGCGGACTCAGATACCAAACAGGTGACCACCAAGACGAAGGCGAAGTCGTCCGGTACAAGTCCAGTATTCATCGCGATGGCCGTCTTGGCTGCAGTGGGAGGCATCGCGCTGGCTGCTGTCGCCTACTCCGTCAAGAAGAAGAAACTGGACGACAAACGGATCGACCGCGATGAAAACCTGGCCCGTTCCTTCGACACATTCAGCTCACCATTGCGTATCAACGAGACCATCGCCCAGATCTAAGCCACGTTGTGTATCACCAAACCAGAAATGCAGTAGTTGTAGTGTGGACGTCGCGTAAATTTCTTTTATATAAACATTTTTTTAAAGTCTAGTCTCACACGCAGTATTTTCCGCTGTGGATGGTATCTAACTGCATTGTTGTGACTGCAGGTTCTCTCTTGCTTTGACTTCGACTACGACTACGACTGCGAGTTCTGTGCGTCATTCTACAGTTCGAGTTCGAACGAACTCGTGGCTGATACGGAACGCCCACCACGCGATTCCGTGGCGCTACGAGCTGAGACGCGATCCGTGCCAGCGTCTGCATGACTGCGTAGTCTGCTGATGAAATATTGTTGTGTGGAACGCGATCCGAAGTGCACAATGAAGCCACGATAGACCCGTCCGGTGCCCGAATCGGGAAGCCGGCGTAGAAACGAATGCCGTGGTCACGGACGACGGGAAGTTGCGCGAAGCGGAGATCGCACTGTGCGTTCTTGATCACCAGCGGTTTGTCCACGTAGACTGTGTGTGCACACATACTCTCGGTTCGAGGCGCTTGCAGGCCGAAGGTACGAGGTGGATACGTTCCAACGGAATGGAAAAAGGTCTCGTCCACGAGAGACACGAAGCCGACGGGACAGTTGAGACGCTCGGCTGCCACTTGAGCCAGTAGATCCAACGCGGAGTGATCGTACTCTGGTTCTAGAACCCCCGACGCTTGAATGTGGTGCAATCGACGGGCTTCACGTGCTGGAGACGGCGTCGGTGGCAGCGGATGTCCTTCAAGCGTTGTTTGTATCGCGTCGAACGTGTAGCGATAGTCACGTACAAGATCCGCGGTCTTCAAGCTCGACGATTGATACTTGTGCTCTGAATCACGAAGCGTCCGATTCACGTACCGCTCAAGTTGTGTCTGAACGCTTTCTCGCGCTGCAGACTGCCCTGGTTTCCATTGATATCGACCGCTTTGTTTCGTTCCCAGCAAGACGTGACTAAGCTGTACCAGACCACAACGCCCGCCAACATCTTTTGAATAGGAAACACAATCAACGTCGTCCACTGAACCAGCGTATGATGACTTGAGAACGGTATCACTATCGTCATCGACATCCCCACTTCCAAAGACCTCAGCCCACTGTGTTTTGTTCCTCAAAGACACGACGGTAGGTCCCAGTGCTGCGATGATGTCTTCATCCGCGAAAGTGCACGAGTCGACATGAACGACGCAGTTCAGACACACTCGATTCATACGCACTTGGCCGATCCTAGCTTCGACTTCATAGAGTTGAGAGCACTCTCCACACGCCAGATGACCGCAAATTTGGCAATAGAACTCGCGTCGGAAGAGCGAAAAGCGCTTGACGCAGATATGACAAATATTGGAGAGTAGAGGGTAGCTAGACTCGCCGCTTTGAAGGCTCACAGAAGGCTGGAAGTAGATGAATGACTGGAAACCAAGGCGACGACGTCGAATAACACGTTCGAACTCGTTTAGCTGCTGCGTCAGTAAGTCCAGCACGTGCTTGGACTCTGGATTGACAATACAGGGTCCTCTGTCTTCCCAGGGTTCAGGTGACGTACGGCTACGTGGCCGACCATTGCGATGATCCAGAGCTGGAGAATACCCAGAGTTCTCCAGACTAGAAGCAGCCACGTACGCATGCACGAATACTCTCGTCATTTGCCGTCCTTCTATGGTCTCGGATACTATGTCATACGCGATTCCGAGGTGATCGACATCCCGTCGAAGTGCTGAACGGTACTCTCGAGGGATAACCTGGTCGTGTACTCGCTTCGGTAGCGTCTTCATGACGTGTACCGCTCGATCGGATTCCGAATATCGATGCGTTAACGACGCAAAGCACAGTCTCTGTGAACTCGGATGCTCCGGGTGACAGAGATGACTCGGAGCCAAGCGGAGCTGCCAACTCGGACGGAACGCGGCCATCTGAACGCCCAGAAGCGCTTGAGTCCCGGGGCCCTTGACTCCATTGGGTACCAGGCGACACCGTTCTCGATACAACACTTCTCCTCCTTCGAATCGCTTACCACTCATCGCCTGCATCGTCGCCTCATAGTCGCTCGTCTTCTGACTCACAAGCACATTGAGTACCTCGTTCATATGGCACTTCAACTTGGTTGACGCCGCGACGGCATAATGCACTTCCGCCCCGTCCGCGCCGCCGTCATTCGGTGGCATCCCCACCAACTCGAACGTGCTGATTCTTGCCTTGACACTCGACGTACGTCTCCAGAGCTGCTCGTTCCTGGACGGGTTACTGCGTAGTGCTGCGTGTAGTTTCGGTAATGAATTCAACAGGTCGTCACAGATCTGCTGTCTCGAAAACACCAACCGTTCCCGACCATAAACCCTCGTCATTAACCCGGTCGGTTCCTCGTTTTGTGCTTCACCAACTGCAATCGATCCTCGTGGTGGATCTGTGTGTCGTCGTGAGCCATTCGCGCCACGTCCGACTCGCATAGCGAATAGTGATGAATCAATTTAAAAAAAAAAATTGTTGGGACTCCGATGTCGGAATGGGAAAATGACTTGCACTGAAGCGCTAAGCAATGCCGATTCAGCGAGCAACAGAGTGGTAGCGGAGACTTGGTTGTCGATGGGGAACTCAAGGTGTTGCTCCTCTTCGCTACCGTCTGGTTTGACGCAAATGTCCGTTCGATCGGTTCACCATGATGCAAAACTTGTCATGTATCCGCCATACGCTGCGCAACGACCTTACGAGACACCTACCAGTCTGCTACATAGTCATCGACGGCGGCGTACTGTGCCAGAAGACCGATGTTCTCCTTGCTGGTGAGTACGGGCATGCCGCCTTC